AGAATCCCTCCCACTGTTACCTCTTTAATCAACACAGGTGAGGAAACAGCTGACAATAGGAAGGTCTTCCATAGGCAATTCCCTACACCCTAATATCCTTTGAATAATTCCCCCCCATCTGGTCTTAATATGCACATCATCTTAATATGTACATCATCTCTCCCCACATGGATTCCCATACTACCTCTGCCCACCTCATTATTTTTCAACCTTCCGCATCTAACTATAAGAAGGACTTTCAAGTAAGACATCTCTCAAAAAATATACAACACTCAAGAAAAAAAAAAAGTCCTTCTTCTGGTTGCTTCATGGATGCTGGTGTTGTATTTTCAAAAAGATCCTCAATGCCTGAATGACAGCAAATGTCCTTTTGTATTCCACTTCTAGTCCCCCAAACAACATGAACAGTGATAGGCCCATGGAAGATGATCAAAACACTCAATTATTACTGATTCATTAGTTTCACTATTAGAAAACTAGATCACGAATAATTTAGTGACAAGATTTTCACAACTGGTTAAAATCTATTAACATAAGTGAAAAGTAGATCTACAATGAAGTATTTCTTAATCATATAATCAATACGTGACCCTCAAGTCATCAAAGACGACAGAATTTTTTACTGATTGTTATCTCATTAGAACACCCACAACAGGTCAGCAATTTTGCTAAAAGGGCACAAGATGCCTCTTCCCCAAATAGAAACCAACTCTTCCAAGTCAAGTCTGCTGGGCAAGGAGACACCAAAGCCTCTCCTCCCTGCCAAAGTGCCCAGGAAATAACCAAAGGATTTATCAAGGTTACACACTGCCTTATGCCATAGGCTTCTCCAGAAGCAGAGATGGTCCATAACTCCTCTTCCCCACCCCCAATCTTCAGCAAAGCCCTGAAGAGGTAAAAGGAGCTGACACTAGGGAAAAAAACCCAAAGAAGGATGCATCCACACTTCTGCAGACCACATTTTCCTGCAGTATAGACACTGTATCTGAAGTGATGTTGCTGTTCTGGTAGGATTTCTTTTTAGAATTCGGGAAATGTTGCCACGAAAAAAACAATGTCCAGATAAAGCCAAAGAGAGGGTAACAAGGGCTTCCCGTTCTTAGTTGACCTTTTCTAAAGGCAGAAACCAGCAGCCTTCAGTTTCCTTTAGAATGCCTTCTTGTTTCCCCGCTCAATTCTAAAATCTATAGGAGAAACTGAGACTCTTCCGGTCAAAGAGGAGTTAACCTGATTTTCTCCCTTCTCACCTTCTCCCAGACAAGATTGGAGTCAAAAATAGGTTACAGCTTTTTTGCTTCCCCCTCTCTGTAAAAGAGTAACATAATCCCTAGCTCAATTCCACCTGTGGAGAGGAAAAAGTCAAGGCTGCCATGAGCTTTCCTAGGGTGTGGGAGGGGCCTGGGGTAAGAAGCAAGGAAACCAAAGGAAGCAGAAATTCAAGAGGTTCAGCAAGGGCAGCTAAATAGACCAGGACTAAAAAACTTTGCAGTCTCCATCCAAAGGTCACAATCTACCCCCAATGCTGGAAGAAGCCACAGGCTATGCCAGAGGAAGATTCCAGAGGTCCGTAACTTCAGGAATTTCCCCACTCCCCCTCCAGGCCCTTGCTTTCCAGCAAAGCTCTAGGGAGCTGAAAGCAAGGAGCTGACACTGAGGAAGAAGCCCAAAGGAGAATCGATTTGGCTCCTACCTACTACACTGGGTGCACAAAGAGGCTTGAGAATAAGTAGGTCCCATTACCCAAACCACTTCACAAACATGGTTCCCCTCACTACTCTTATGAGCCCATGTCCCAGGCTGGCAAAAGAAATCAAAGATGGGAGGTAACTTCTTC